GCTGGGGTTCTTTCTCTCTCCAGAGGAGACAATTCTGTCATGGTGTGTGTCATTTCTCAGTTCTGGGAGAAGGAGTGCTGTGACCAGGTGCCGGATGTGGGTGGGGGTGAGGGTGCCTGGTGTGCCCATGTCTGGCTGGCCTGGATGGAGATTGGAGAGGACTGGGGGGAGGGAGATGACCACACAGGCTCCCACCAAGAGCGCCTATATTTTGTGGCTCTGGGCCACGTTCTGGTGCCACCATTGGAATACCGGGAGGTGAATATAAGCTCTTGGGACTGCCTTGAAGGGCGCAGCATCATTAGTCGGACAAACACAGTTTTCTACTGTCCTTGTTCTGAGTGCCTCTGGGTTTTTTTTTTTTTTTAATTTTAATTTTTTTTTTTTTTAACGTTTTATTTATTTTTGAGACAGGGAGAGACAGAACATGAACAGGGGAGGGTCAGAGAGAGGGGAGACACAGAATTCCAAACAGGCTCAGGCTCTGAGCTGGTGTCAGCATGAGACGCTGGGGGCTCAAACTCACGGACTCCAGCGAGATCATGACCTGAAAATGGTAAGTCGGACGCTTAACCAACTGAGCCACCCAGGCGCCCCTGGAGTGCTCCTTGTTGAGCACAACCCCATCCCACCACCCACCCCTGTGTTAGGAGTCCATCTTGCAGAGCTGAGGACTGCCTCTCCCTGCGTGAGGCTGTGTGCGGGCCTCAGAGTCGAACCACTGCCTGGGTTCAAATCCCAGCCCTGCCACTTGGGTCATCTTGAGCAAAAGCGACTTCGAGAGAAGTACCCCACAGGCATTTTGAACAGCGCCACCTACATTGTGTGTAGTAAGAGAAAGCCTTAGCTGTTAATCCTCGTGGCTCAGGAAAGCTAAGAGGTCCCTTAAGTCAGGGGACATCTGGGAAGGGCTGAGCAGGATTGTTTCTGGTGGTTCACCAGACACAGGTTGGAGAAGGATCTCATCACATGCTTGGTTCCCGATATGCAGTAGGCCTTCTCTTATTATTAAGATTTCAGCGGATGTCACAGGAGGGGAAAGTTCTGCTGTTTCCTGCTTCATGCCAAGCTGTTCTCCTGAGTCACTGCTCCGTCTTTTGCCTGGAGGAGCTCTTCTCCCTCGCCCACGTTAACTCCTTCAGAACCAGACTTATTTTGGGGCTGGCGGAGGGGGTAGGACGCGGAGGGTGGCTGGTGAGCCAATGCAGTAGACTCACAGGCCGTGCTACTCACAGAAAGGACTTCCAGGTCAAGGGTGAACCATTTCCCTGGTGATTCAGTCTATGGTGGCTCTTTGTCATCCTTCCAAGTTTATAGATGAAGTGTGTTTAGCAATAAGTCCTTGTCAGAATTAAATCATTAAAGAAGGAGGAAAAAAAAAAACAACTTGAGTCAGCTTTCTGGAAGAGGTCCTTAAGAGGCTTTGTTGCCATGACTACAGCGAAGTCCACACCCCCCATTCGCTCACCACCTGAGGCCTACGTGTTTGTACGTCAGAGTGCTGACCTGCCTCCTCCCTCCCAAGGACCGTGAATGCAGTTGGTGTTTTGCAGTTTTCTCCCTACGAGTCTCACTGACAGCCTCTGCCTTTGACAGATGTGTCTATTGCTTAGAGCCTATTAAACTCCTGCCCCTTGGACACAGCCGCTGATCTCTCGTTAACTCTGGAGGGAGTCGCTGTGTTTGTAGTCAGGAACAGAATTGGGGTTTTGATGGTTTGCTGGGATTAGAAGGTTGGGGTGCTCTTAGCTAGGGGCAGCCTTGGGTCAAACCCCGCCTCGCTGAGCAGGATCTTTGTTTTCCCCTTTCGGTTCCTGCTGGGCTGGGACAAAACTCAGTCTGGCTTAAGTTGCTTATGTGTGTGTTTCTCCCCTCTTTCTCATGGAATTAATGAATTGGAAAGTTCAAAAGGGACTTTACTTTTTTCATTAAAAATTTTTCTTGATGTGTATTTTTGAGAGCGTACGCAGGGGAAGGGGCAGAGAGAGAGGAAGACACAGAGCCTGACGTGGGGCTCGAACTCACAAACCACAAGATCGTGACCTGGGCCGAAGTCGAGCACGTAACCAACTGAGCCACCCAGGCGCCCTTCAGAATGGACTTTAAGGTCCTCTAGTCCTGTAGTTTTAATCTTTAGTGTTGGTGATATCTTTAGGAAGGTGAAGTAGGTGTGGCCCCCCCTTTGCCAGGAAGTTGTGTCCTTGTACGGAACTGTGGCTTGTGGATCATGGGTCCCTGAAGCACTTTCCAGGCTCCAGGTGAGAAGTTCTGGTCTGGCCCCTTCCTCCCTTGTGCCATTTTGCAGATGGAGTCTGAGCGGAAGAGAGACCAGCCTGGCATCTCCTCGTCTTGCCTCGCCTCCTTGCTCGGCTGCTGTTTCCTCAGACCCAGACCAAGCCCACAGGTGGTGGTGGGGCAGGAGAGGAGCTGGGCTTACCGGTGTGGAACAGGGTTCTCTAGACTTGAGAACTTAGATTCCATCCCCTACACACACACCCTGGGGTGTGCATCCGGGTTCTCTGGAGGGCTTGCTACCCCACAGACCACCAGGGCGTAGGCTAGAGTGTCTGAATCTGCAGATCTGCGGGGCCTGAGAATGTACATTTGCAGATTCCCACGTAATGCCACTGCTGGTAGTATGGGGACTACTCTTTGGGATCTGTCGTCCCAGGGGGCCTCAGCCGCAGGTGGGTAACTTAGACGCCCAAGGAGGGGCTGGTGCCCTTTCTGGCTGTCAAAGGCTGACTGTTAGCTACCTTCTGTGTTCTAGCTCGGTGATTCTTCAGGAGGCCAGTCCCACCCCCTCTGGGGGTGTTTGGGAAGTATGTGGGGGTGCTTTTAGTTGTCACTGTGTGTGGGAGTACTGCTGGCAGCGAGCGGCAGGGTGCCCAGGTGGTCCTTATGATGGGGAAGAGCTCTCCCTTCCAAAAATCTAGTGCGTTCCATTAAGAAACCTGGAAACGCACAATTTGTTTTTCCTGAATGTGCCCCTAACTTTTCCACTGATGTGTCTTTGCTCATGTACTTTCTTCTTTAAAGAAGTCTACCCACCAACGGGCGTCTGGGTGGCTCAGTGGGTTAAACATCAACTTCGGCTCAGGTCGTGATCTCGTACTGCGTGAGTTCCAGCCCCGCGTTGCATTCTGAGCTGATGGCTCAGAGCCTGGAGCCTGCTTCAGATTCTGTGTCTCCCTCTGTCTCTACCCCTCCCCCGCTTGCATTCTCTCAAGGATAAATAAACGTTAAAGAAAAAAAAAATCTACCCACAGATGAAACAAAAACATCCCAAATACCCAAAGCTTTGCCTAATTGCTTTCAATTTTGGCCTGGCCCAGGGGCCATTTTGTTTGGGATGCATTTCCTTGTGGCCCCCAAAACACCTTTTCTAAACGCACATATTCTGACAGTTGAGCAGGGTTATTTGGGTTTATCAGGTCCACATTCAACAATCCCCAAAACTCCTTCCTGCGGTCCCTCCAAGCCTGTGGTGATTGGTCCCAACGGTGTCTATCTGGTGACCTTTTTAAAATCCTGAATCAGGCCGTCGTCATTTGCTCATTACTGGCTTTGGTTTGCACCTGCTGCTTTTTATGTGAAACTCAATCTCCTGAATACCTCAGTTTAAGTTTTATTTTGATAGTCTACACTCATGATACACAAAGTACACAAGGGTACACCGTGAAAAATAATCCCTCCCCCACGCCCTGAATGTTTTCTTCGAACTCTGTAATACTTTTGTGTTCATCCAGAATGTTCTAGGCTTGTGCGTACTTAGATATATGACATCTTTTTTGGGGTGTGTTGTCTATTAACGGTGCTTAGAAATGTGTTGCTTTTTTTTTCACTTAATGCAGAAGCTTGGAGATGGTCATACATCCGTTTGTGTAGAAGTGTCTTTAAAAAAAAATTTTTTTTTGACATTTTTATTTATTTTTGACACAGACCTGGAGCGTGAGCAGGGGAGGGACAGAGAGTGAGAGGGAGACACAGAATTGGAAGCAGGCTCCAGGCTCTGAGCTGTCAGCAGAGAGCCTGATGTGGGGCTCAAAGCCACCAGAGATCATGACCTGAGCCAAAGTTGGACGCTCAACCGACTAAGCCACCCAGGCGCCCCAAGGTGCCTTCTTATTCTTAAGGGCTGCAGAATATTCCACTGTATGAGAGGTGCCTGGCTGGCTCAAGAGCATGTATGTGACTCCTGATCTCAGGGTTGTAAGTTCAAGCCCCATGTTGGATATAGAGGTTACTTAAAAAAAATAAATAAAAAAAATAAAGGATATCCCACCATATGGCTATGGTATGGTATTAGACTAGTCCTTAATTTGTGGACGTGTAAGTCATTTCCAGGCTTGGGTACAACACCCAGTGCCTCTCAGTTGAATTTTCTTGCGGGTACTCTGCTTCCTATGACTGTATCTGTGGAATGTGTTTCTAGGAGGACATTGTTGAGTCAAAGACTAGGTGGGGAAGGTGAGAGACTCTTTACTGTGAGGGTGGAGTGGGGTGGGGATCTCTGCGGGCCTGAGAGAGAGGAGGTTCCCTCTGGGGGAATGCCAATCCCAGGCGGCACCTTTTCAGTGAGTGTTCCCCGCTAACTAGCTATGCTGTGCCTCTGGGCCAACCCTTTGGCTCTCTCTGGGCCTCCATTTGGATGTCTGTGGGATGGTCCTCCAAGCTCTGGGGTCTGTTCTCCCTCAAGGTGCCTGTGGTTAACGTTTAATTTCCTCGCGGGGCTGTGTCTCAGCGCAGCACTCAAATGCTGAACGCTTATTCAGGATTTTTCTGAAGTTGCCCGGTGAGAATGGAGAGTTCCATCCTGTGGACTGGATTTCGCAAAAGCAGTTCACTGTCTCCTTTAACGAGCCTATTGGAAGATGCTCTGCCTTTCATTCAAAGGACCCCCCCTCCCCGCCCCGCCCCCGGAGGCCTTGCTTGTATCCATCCTGGACCATGTTCATCTGCCCCAGTGGCCCCTGTCCACACTCGGAGGTCAGTGACGCATGGCGCGGCCCGTGTGCTGGGGCTCGCCCGCAAGTTAGATCTGGAGGAGGAGCGTCGTCAGGTTACCTTTGGGGGTAGTCGTCGTTCTGGATTCCACACCCCACCCCATCACCTCTGCTCTCACGCACCGTCTCTCCTCGTGCCTGTAACATCTTTCTCAGAACGTAAGGCGCATCATGCTGCGCCATTGTTTCGTCCCTACGCTCATGAGACAGCCATCGGGTGTGGAATGAATGGATCCAAGGCCTTGCAGGTGAAGAGTGGGTGGTGGTGGACGTGTCTGTGTTTAAATGAGATGCTGGGAGAGTAAAAACGGAAAGGACTGAATCGGCGAGGGTGAGGCTGGCCTGGCTCAGATGCGAATCAGCGAACGTGTCATTTATGTCCATCTCTTCGGAGGAGAGTAGCAAGCACGACACCGTCAACGTTGGCCTCTTCCGCAAAGGAGTGTGTGCGCCTTCAGTTTCTTGAAGTGTGTGGGCTGGTTGGTCGATCTTTCATGGTTTTCTGCCTGTCGCCATCAGGAGAAGAAGTGTTTCTTTGCGATGCGGACAGGGCACCAGTGCCCGTGCGACAACTCATGGCGGCTGGGTTGTGGCCTGGTCAGTGGGGACACAATGGGGATTTTGGCCAAAGGGAGAGCACGCTTCCACCCAAAAGTGGCCTGCGGGGGTGCAGATCCACCTGGTGGTATCAGGCCCTACAGGCCCTGATCTGGTTTTTGTTTTTGTTTTTTAAGAGAAGCCAGAAACCTAGGTTGTTATGTGAAGTTTCTCGATTTTATATTTTGGCAGTGAATTAAAATGTTAACAAATGGTATGTAGGCTGAAGAAAGACGGTCTGACCTTTGAGCCAGTTAACTGAAGAGCCGGGGTAAGTAAGTGTATTCTAGGAGGAGGACCACTAAAATGGCATTGGGCCCGGGGACAAGATGCGCTGTGCGCCCCCACACCCACACCCGCTCCCTGTGGGGGCTGGGCCTCCCTGACTGCTTTAAAATATGTGGTCCTGTGTGTCTCTTTCAGATCCTGGCTCCACAGAGAGAACAGCCCAGAAAAGAAAGTTCCCCAGCCCTCCGCATTCTTCCAATGGCCACTCGCCACAGGACACATCAACAAGCCCCATTAAAAAGAAAAAGAAACCCGGCTTACTGAACAATAACAATAAGGAGCAGGTAAAGGGCCGCTGGGAATGGTGTCCACACCAGCAGGACGAAGGCTGTAGTGGGAAGCGGTTCAGCTTTCCGGGGGTTTCTGACAGCCGCTGTTCTTGGCATTTAGCAGGCTGCCTTGCTGCAGCTGTCATTTGCATAGGACAAGAAGGACAGCCCAAAATGGGTCTGTGTAGCGATTTTTCTGTTAGCTTTTCAGATCTGTGTTGGGGACAGGGCAGTGACCCAGATGAGATGAAGGATACTGTGCTTTAGGATTTGGGGATTGTCCTTGGATTTTATTTTTGCACTCTAGGGCTGTTTCCCCACGTGGCCTGAGGATTTTTTTTCCTGCTAGGCCAGGCTGGTAGGATGGTTCTGAGCTCTGCCTCGGGGTGGTTGTGTGGCTAAGGCAGGCTCCCTCCTGGTCTCAGCTTTCTCATCTGTAAAATAACGGGTTTAGGTCTGTGGTAAGACAGCTGCTGTCTCTACCCTTTGTCCACTCTCCACTGTGGTGATTGGTCACCCCTTGGTCTCATTGCGTGTAGACCCCAGGCGGCACGAGTCTTCTCTAGACCCCAGCCTCCTTCTGCAGCCAGGACCTATCAATGAGATAGGAATATCCATGAGCCATCTTGGATCTTGCTTAAGAAACCTAGTTTTAAAATTCTCGAATGTAAGCTAGATATTCTTCTGATTTAAAAAGACGAGAGCTGCTTTAGTGGACCCTGGGGTCCAGTCTCCTAGTATTGGAAGAAACAGGATGTCCCAGGGGTTCTGATACCATTTCAGCGGGGATTCCTTGGGATGTATTCATCCATCTTGTGCATTATGGAGTGCTGACGTGGGCCCTGGGGATTGGAGGTTGACTAAGACAGGGTTGTTACTTTCATGGGAAAGAAACCTAGCAACGGTTAAATGCCCAGAACTGGGAGAGGGGTACATTTCTGCACACTAATCTATTTCCATTCTCAAAATTACATAGTGAAATGCCAGCTCTGCCTTTGCCGTGTGGCTGTGGGCAAGTTAACCTCTTTGTGCCTGCTTTTCTCATCTACCGATGGGAATGAAGGTCCTGCTCCTGATTGCACAGGGTTGTTGGGATGAACTGAGCCCACTGATGCAAATCATAATAATAAAAATTAAGCCAGGCTTGACACGAAGTGGAATAATCACACAAACCATGTGTGAAATCGAGAAACGACAGCTGTAAAAGTGTTCTAGAACTGGGCTGTTCGGTATGATTGCCACAAGCCATGTGTGGCCACTGAGCACCTACCTGCAAATGTGACCCAGGGACTGATTTTTTTTTTTTTTCCCCTGGGTTGGATAGTGCAAGTCTAATGAGTTGGGAATCCTGTTCAAAGAGAAGAAACAGATGGGTCCTAAATACATTTTTAGGGAGATTGAGAAAGATACGCCAGTATTGGCAATAATAATCATAAAAGCAGTGTTGACTCCCTGTTGTAAGCATTTTTCTGTGTTAATGTTTATAATCTTCCTGTGAGAAAGGGCTGTAATTATCTCCCTTCTGCAGATGAAAACATTGAGGTTCAGAGAGGTTAAGTTGTCTCCTCAAGGCCTCTGAGCAAATTAGAAGTTGCATTCGAGCTCAGGTCGGCCGGTCTGGCTTAAAGCAGTGGCGACCATCTCTGTCACCCAGGAGCCATCCCGTAGTTGCTGGGAGTGAAGACTGAAAACGAAACCCCGAGGCCACAGATAATCCCCAAACCTTAATTTAGCTAGTAATTGAACTTCCTGGGCAAACCCTCCCTTATCGGATACCAGGACGCCTCAAGGCAGATACTGTCCCCTCTGTGCAGAAAGCCTTCTCCTTCGGCCTCTCTCTGTGTGCGCGCACACGCATCATGCTTTTTGAATTCCTACCTGTCCTTTAAGGAACTGGCTCGTAACTCTCTTTCTGGAAGCGGATCAGCTTGGGCAGTCCACACGTTTTCTTCTCTCCCTTCCCCATCCATGTGTACCATTTCTCTTAACACACGAGGCCCGTGAACACAATGTCGGTCCATGTTTCCCTGAGAAATAGCCACAGGGTGGAGGTTCGCATAGGCACAGTGCGTCCTAGACGTAGAAAAGAGGAGACCCCGAGTAGCTGGACACAGGACACGGTGACGCTCCTGAATAATCTGTAATCTTCAGTATTGATAGAGTTTACAGGACTGTTGCACAGAGGAAGTGTCCTGACCCACAGGTCGGACTCTAGCCTCACTGCATCTGGGAAATTCACTCTGGGACCTCGTCAGTTGCTTTCCTAGCTTTGAGCTTCAGTTACCTTGTAAAATAGGGGTTTGGATTGGGAACATTATAAGGTTGATTGTAGGTTTTTCAGATCTAAAACTCCCTGGGGCCCAACCGTCAGGAGTTGGCGAAAGAGAAACGGGCTTAACTGTAAAGAAATGAAATTCTTGAACCTTGACCCCATAATTCATTCTAGCATATGGTATTTGCATACTAGCAACAGCCTCCCTCACGCACAGTCTGTTTTTCCTTAAGGGGAACTTAAATTCCTTAAAAAAAATTCTTCTGGGCACTTTCCCTTTTCTCTTTCTTCGTTTTAGAATTCTATAGCATTACAGAATTATGGAATTAAAGGCAAATTGTAGGTCCACGAGTGCTGGGTTTTACCAATAATATAATTTCTTAGTCACCAACATTTGAAGATCATGAGATTTCAAATAACAACTTGTATTTTTGGGTTCTTATAAAAACTCAGAAAAATCCAGCAACAGCTGGAGCGGAGTAGAGCTTGCTCCTTTAGACGGAGGGCCTGTGGGCTGTAGTTTTCCACACTCCCCACCCCTCCCCGCAGCGTGACACCCGACTTGCTTTGCTTATTCCTTCTGCCTCTAGTTCTCTTAAGTGTTCAAGTGCTTTTGGTTTTGGGCACATGTCAAGATTCTTCTCCCCTTCCTCCCTTTTTCTTCTACTTTCTTTTTTGTGTTCAAAAAATAAATCCTCTCTGGCCTTATAGAAACACCCTCCCTGCCCCCATATTTTTCCATTTTTGGTAGAGACCTTTTATTATCAAGTGGAGATGGGGGTTGAATTTTTAAGGTTGGACCCTGTTTCACTCATTTTTCATGTATTAGGAATTCAGTACTTTTAGGGAGTTGCAAGAGGAACTTTAAAACACACTTTAGTTTTAGGGAAAAAAGTATTTAGGGCTTACAGTTCATTTTTTATGGCTCTTTGGTCCAGTGGTTTTGCCCTGTAGGAACGGTTTGAAAACATGTAGGTGTTTTTTCTACATCCCAAAGCCTGGAAGGATGCTCTGGCATTTTGTGGAAGAAGGTTAGATTGCCAAACGTCCTGCAGTAGGATGGCCCAAGAAATATCTTCCCTCAAATGACATTAGGGCCTTTACTGAAAAATACCATTCTAACTTTCAGTTCTCAGGACATCTGACTTTGAAGACTCCTTTCGGGAGGTTTATTTTTATTTTATTTTTTCCCCATCGTTAAAGGATTGAGAAATAATCTGCTAGCAGATTGGGTATATCTTTGATCAACTATGGCAAAGAAACGATGGGGTCCCTCCTCACTGCCCCTGAGCACAGGGTATATACATACCATAAATGGGTGGGCTAGAACTTACTTTCTCGGGCCCACGCATTGTCTTAAGAACTTAAACATACTCCGGAAGTCCCTTGTTGGGCGTGTTGGGGCAGTGTATTCATAGTTGGGACTGTGAAGGGGGTTGTAGGCTTGCTGGCTTCTCCCTCAGCCCAGGCAGCACTGGGAGAGTGTATCTGCCTCGCTGTCCCGATCACTGGAGCTGTCCTGGGGCTGCTGCTTAAGAGGGGCCAAGTTCTCCCTCTCCCTGTTGTCTCGCCAGCGTCCAGGCTGAATGCCAGTGACATTCCTCACACTCCAGGGCTGGGCAGTTTTTCCTTAGAGCACTGTTTGTGCTTTAAATGCTGAAGAATAAAAGCTGGAACAAGGACTCTTTTCACTTACATATGTTACCTCTGTGCTCCAGGTAGGGATTCGTGTTTGTGGCCTCTCCCCAGGGGCCCCTCCGTGGTCCCACATGTACTCTGTGCTCCCACACAGCCGGCGTACCCCTTTTCTGGTTTACACAGACCAGGTGTCAGCTCACTACAGCCTGTGAGCCGGGTGGGCCCAGAGCCTGTTTTTGTAAATAAAGTTTTATTGGCACGCAGCCACGTTCATTCATTTACATACTGTCTCCGGTTGCTTTTCTGCTACTGTGGCCGGCCTGAGCATTTGTGCTAGAGAGAGATCATATGACCTGCAGAGCCTCAGCTATGAACTGTCTTCACAGAACCCTTTGTAGAAGTTTTGGGTCACTGGTATAAGACTGAGGTGTTCTAGAAGTGAGTTCATGAGCCCATCTGTTTTCTTGTTAATCAGCCTGTGGAAGAAGCAGGGAAATAACATTTGCTCACACAGCCTGCAGTTATCCTGTAAGAACATAGGTTGCAACCTTACTAGCAGGCTGGTAACACACCTTATCCATAGGGGGAGAAAATCATAACTCCTTTCACCTGGAATGGTTCGCTTTTCCTCTTTTAAATGTTCCATATTTGTTACCAGCCTGTTTGTCAGGAGCAGGAAACAGCAGATGAGGCAGGTATCTGATTGAGATTAGCGGCCAGCCCGTTCTCAGCAACACAGCTGCTGCTTGTGGAACGAGGGAATGGCCTGCAGAGCGTTTGGAGCAGCCTGGCACCCCGCCCCGCCCCGTGATTCCCCCCCAGGAACATCCATTCCCAGCCAGTTGTGGGGTGGGGGTGAGGACTTGGGGTGGGGGGAAGCTTCGCTTCACGAGTGGCCATCCCGGGCTTCTACTAGACAGGAAGGACCTGGGCTGCCTGTTAGGGAGATTAGCTGGCCTTTCGATCCTTCCAGTTTTGTGTAGATTGACTCTTCCTGTCCTATTATTAACTTGCTGAAAGGAAGTCGGGCGCTGAGCTATGGCTTACTGCTATGTGGCAAAAGCCACAAAGGCGTTCTGAAAGACCTCGGGTTGGAAATAGTTCTGCTTGCTTGATATGTGAGGCTTATCTTTCAGTACGAGGATCTTCTCCCCCTCTTCCCACTCCCCACCTACCTCTTCTTTCTTGTCGTCCTGCTTCTCCTCCCCTTCCCCCGTCCCCCTTCACCCCTGTCTTCCTGCCCCAAATGCACACAACCATTTCCTAGGCAGATAGCGAACGTTGTACATTGTGGTTCTCAACCAAGGGCCGTTTTACCCCCGAGGGACGTTTGGCAATATCTGGAGACCTTTTTGATCCTCACAGTTGTGTGGACGGGGTCCTGGCATCCAGGCACGGATGCTCCCACACATCCTACGGTGCACAGGACAGCTCCATCCCACAAAGAATTTTCTGGGCCGAACGACAGCAGTGAGGGTGCGAGCCCCCGCTGTAGGTGGCGTTCTGCTTGTATGTCCCCTTCTGTGGAGTTCCTAGCTGTTTTCCGATCCTCCCCCCCCCCCCC